TTCTGGGGCTGGCTTTTAACTTGTGTTCCTCCTGCCTCATCCTCCAGAGCTGATGAGATTACAGGTGTGCACCATCGTGCCTGGTTGTACTATATTATTATTTTGGGGGTACCGGGAATTGAACTCAGAAGCACTTGACCACTGAGCCACATCCGCAGCCCTATTTTGTATTTTGTTTAGAGACAGAGTCTCATTGAGTTGTTTAATGCCTTGCTTTTGCTGAGGCTGGCTTTGAACTTGCGATCCTGCCTTAGCCTCCTGAGTCACTGGGATTACAGGCATACGCTACTGTGCCCAGCTAGTACTACATTATTTTTTAGGAGCAGTTTTATTTTCACAACAAAATCTGAGGAAGGTAGAGATTTCCTCTCCACCCTCTCATTCAAGTTCACAGTCCCCCTACCATCACTGTACCAGAGTGGCACATTTGTTAACAACTAATGCACCTGAATTGGCGCATCATTATTACCCATAATCCATAGTTTACACTATAGTTCACTCTCAGTGTTGTATATCCTATAGGTTTGGATGGATGTATACTGACCAGCACCCATTTCCTTTCTTGTTCTGTTCATTGTTCATTCTAATATGCTGATACCATTTCAAGATCAAAGAATAGTTTCACTGCCCTAAAAGGAGTCAGTTCTTTGTCTATTCATTTCTCCTTTTCCAGAAGCCTCTTGCAGCCACTGATTTTTGTGTCTCCATAGTTTTACTTTTTTTCCAGTGTGCTATACAGTTCAATCACAGAGAATGTATACTTTTTTTTCAAAACCATAAAAGTATTCTTAAGTCATCCAGCAATATCTTTAAATTCTTGATTAGTTTCCTATTGATATTTCTAGATGTCTATTTGTAAAAAATTCCTTTGACCTTTAAAGATTTTTGCTTGTCACTAACTTAATAACTTACACAAAACTTTTTAACTATTCAAGTATATTTTATATATCAAGAGTCTATATTGGACCCCAATACATATGAATGGTACTGTCATGGGGTATGCTCATTATAGTCACTCAAGGGTACAGGTTGATAGGGGCAACAACCATCATGTTGTTATGCTTGGAAAAAACAAACAAACAGTAAGCTTGGGAAGGTCTCACAGTCCATTTTTGCTTACCACTTATTATCAGAAAGTTACATGATTGCACCAAATCACAAGGGGACCAAGACAACCCAAACCAACAATATGCCAGGTAGGCAGAACTGGGAATGTTTGTTGAATATAATTCAAGACTTCCAGTATATACTGTACCTAGTAGAACTGAGAACACAAAAGAAGTCATTTTTGCCACATTTAAGCAAAGTAAGTGTAATAATTTAAAAAATTTGTTCCAGGGATTAATCAAAGTGAATAATGAAGAGCACAAAATTAGCAAAATTTTTATTACATACTGTGGTTAACATTTTCCTTTTTGTCTATTGTGCTAAAAATAAAAACCACTCCAGTGAAGTGCAGCCTCTGGGATAATAATCAAGACATTTTGATATTGCTGATACCAAAATCATTTCCTTTTTCTAAGGGTTGCTGTTAAAATAGGCTAAGATAATGCTCAAATTTAAGCCTACCAACTCCCTCGTTGGTTAAGTAAAATAAAAGGTGTGAGCACAAAAATCTTTTCTCTTAAAGAAACAGAATGAAATAGTTAAAAAGAAAAATCTAAGTCACAATATTAATGTTTTCATAATCAATTAGGAAAGTTGCTTAATCCCTGTGTGCTTAGGACAAGGTCACTTCCCCTAGGATAACACATATGCAGTAATGGGAAAATGAACATTTTTGATAAGGTCAAAGGAAAAAAAAGCAGCACAATGTGACAAAATCTCTGAACTGAACTTCTTAACCTTGACCCTATGCTATATAATAGCCCTGAATCTATAACAATGCCATGGCCAGGATACGTGGAGCAAACCAATTATTGTCTGCCAGTAAGTTAAGACCATGATTAAATTTTCTAGGATTCCCCTCCCAAGTTATTTCTCTTGCTTTTCCCAAGTCTTAGGCAGACAGTTGAGTTCCATCTATGACTGGCTCACAAATCCTTTGCTGACTGTGCCATCTCCCTGTTTCCTACATGTCTTTCCTATAAACCCTTGGAACATCGGTATCAAAATATCATCAAAGATGTGAGTTTCCTTTGTATGCATCTTCACCAGGGATAAAATAATTTTATCTTTCCAAAAGAAAGGATAACACATATGCAGTATTTAAATATGATCTTATTCAAACAGCGCTTTAAAAATGCATTTCCAAAGCTAATTCCATTTCTCTTTCTCCTTTAGATATATGAAGACATTATTTTCATCAGGAAGAGTGAGAGTTAAAGAGAAAACACCCTTTAGAAACATATGTACATTGATTTTTGTCAGCTGAACTCCCAATTTGCTGAGGAGTGACAGGGCATGAATACTTTAAGCTTCACTCTCCTTTTTCTGGTGGTAAAAGACTGCCTAACTTATTAATGGAAATATGCAAAACAGGAGTATCATCTTAAAATAAATATACTGCAAGTTTAAGTCTGGCTTCTTGTCCCTTTTCCAAGGCCTTGCATCAGATTTAAGCAAGTTGGCATCCTTCCTGGGAGCCCTCGAAAGTTGAGGTTTCCTCTTCTGCTTTGTGAGTGTGAAGCTGCAGAACTGTCTCTTTATTAGCTTTCAGACTACCATAAGCAGTTGCTAAATCTAGACTTTTGAGTCCTCATTTGTGGAGAATCTGATTTAGTGGGATAGAGCCGAGGATGTTTTTGAAAAGGCTCCCCAGCCAGCCATGATACATAGCAAAGCCTGAGAACAAGTGATCTGTGCCACTCTCAAAATTACAGCTTGCTTTTTTTTTTTTTTTTTTTGGTATGTAGATTGAACCCAGAGGCACTTAACCATGGAGCCACATCCCCAGACCATTTTTGTATTTTATTTAGAGATAAGGTCTTGCTGAGTTGCTTAGGGCCCAAGTTGCTGAGGCTGACTTTGAACTCTTGATCCTCCTGCCTCACCCTAGTAAGCTACTGTGCCTCACTAACATTACAGCTTTCTACCCTAAACTATGACAAAGTCAAAACCAAAATGGGTGCAGAATACTCAAGTTTCAGGATAATGCTGTACATATAATTTTATTAGTTAATGATTCCTGATTTTTTTAGGGGTTTTAACTTTTTAATATCTTTTTATCAAAGATATTTTTAAAATAACACGATTAACAGTTTAATAAAAACCCAATTAAACAAGTTATTAGAAATCATGTATATAAAGCCTAAAAGTAGTCAAAAGTAGAAGTTATTTTTTATTATATTACATTTATACTCCTGATACCTAAAATCATTTTTCAGAGTAAATTATTTCAAATAGAAAGGGAGGCAATATGTATTCGGGTCCTTTTATAAAAATGCCATAAGATGAGGCTGTTTTTAACTTTTTCTCTTTGGCTTTTTAAAAATTTATTTATTCTGATTTGTTATACATGATGGAAGAATGCAATTCATTTCAAATTACACATATAGAGCACAATTTTTCAAGACACTGGTTGTACACAAAGTATTTTCACACCATTCGTGTCTTATACATGTTCTTGGGGTAGTGATGTCTAACTCATTCCACCATCTCCTTCAGTAGATGAAGGGATAGGAAAACTTTGGTATATGTACACTATGGAACATTACTCAGCATTAAGAGAATAAAATCATGGCAGGTAAATGGATGAAGTTGGAGAACATAATGCTAAGTGAAGCAAGTCAATCCCCCAAACCAAAGGCTGAATATTTCCTTTGATATGAGCATGCAGACCCATAATGGCAATGGGGGTGGGGCATGGGAAAGGAATGGAAAAACTTTAGATAGGGCAAAGGGGAGGGAGCAGAAAAGAAGGGGGCAAAGGGTAGGGGGGGTAAGAATGATGGGGGAACGAGTTAGATTCCTGATTTTAAAGAGAATGATTCTGAAGGAAAAAGATGATGCTAAAAGCTGGGTTCAATGGTGTACACCTATAGTTACAGCTGCTTGGGAGGCTGAGGCAGGAGGATGGCAAGTTCAAATCCAACCTCAGCAAAAGCAAGGTGCTAAGCAACTCAGTGAGTTGCTGTCTCTAAATAAAATACAAAATAGGGGGCTGGGAGTGTGGCTTAGTGGTTAAGTGGCCTGGAGTTCAATCCCCTGTACCCCCCCACCCACCCAAAATAAAAGAAAAAAAAGGGGGGAGTGGGTTGGTGATGTGGCTCATGGTTAAGTGCCCTAGATTCAATCCCTGGTACAGAGGGAGGATAAAAAAACAAGATGATGCTAAGAAAGCAGACACACAACTTCCATGTACTTTTCAGATGTAGTTCAGAAGTTAGGAAAATAATACCAAGCCAGAAAACACATTATTGACTTATTTCTAATTGTAATCCCACCTCTGCAAAAGACATTAGTAAAATTACAGTACAAATCAAATGCCCCCAATGATTTGTAAAAGACATGACCAATACTGACTGTCAGTAGCTTAAAGACAGAGATTTTTGTGGCTCAAAACTTTCCTACATTCAGAGCTCCATTAGAGAGTAATCTAAACAAAATCAATATAATTGCTTACCAGAAGATTGCCCATATTTTCTAATATGTGCAAAATAAAAAGCATCTATATTAATAGCATTCTTCCTGCTTCAAGCTATTAGGAACACTAGGTAAAACTAATAATCAGTGGTCAGAGGTATGTCATACTGAACATAACAAACTGAAATTTAACCAGGACTAATCTGCCAAGTCTTAGTGTAACTCTTCCTTTGAGAAAGACCTAAAAGGCTTGTATACTTTAATGATTTTAAGTACTCAAATATAGCTGACTTGGATTTAGTATATTACTGTGAAAATATATTCCCGAAGTAGTAATTTCTTGCAACATCAATTAGAAATTCAAATATCATTTACATTTAAGTCTATACAACACATACACATATGGATATTAATTTTCAGGGAGTGTACAAAGCTTAAATAAAAATAGAAAATACAAAAATTTCAGATGTAGAAAGTGTCATTTCAGCATAAATTTATTTTTGTGTTTACTTTATACAAAAACCTTACAATGCAGACAACCACTACATGATGATTATAACCTTTTGCTTTTGTTTTTTTCTTCTTTAAATACAGATAGTGACAGAGAAGATGGATTAGATGCAGTCAACTTTTTCCTCAGTTGGTTCATTTTTTAGAGAATTATAAACCATGAAACTAAACTGAGTAAATGTTGGAAGTTTATTGCAAGCAGCACCTTGGGTCAAAAAAGAGAAAGATGTGTGGTTAAATACAGGATGCATATATTTATAACCAACACAGATATTGCTATTTGCCTGGACACTGGCAATTGTTTCTATATGTACAACAAAGCTACAAAGAAGTACCTTCTTGAGCACTGAGTAGTTATGAGAGAAAGAAAGAAAGAAAAAACCAACAAAACCCAAAAAACAGGTGGTAGGGGAGCAATGCTCTTGAACTTCAGAAAATCTGCGGATTGTCTGTTCCGTACACATGCTGTTGTTTCTTTTTTAATGTTTTCATGTCCCTTTCTTACAAGAAATTATTCAGGAATATCATCCAAAATTTTATTTCCCTAGCCTCTAGAACATTCCTATGATTCATCCATTAACACCCCGCCCCCCAACATCACTGCTTCTTATTCTTTTCTACTCTGTTAATCTCACAGAAAGAAGAGTTATTTGACAAGGTGCTTTTTGTCTTGGGTTCATTTTCTGCTTAAAAACCTTGGGGGAAATGTCCCTTCTACTCTGATTACTTCAAATGTAAGGTACTAGTCATTTTAAATTCATCTACAATTATATAATTAGCATTTTCCATCCTATTAAATCCAACTCCGAGCCTTCTACAGTTTATTTCTTAAGAGAGAATCAATGAAACTGACTTATTTCATACATAAAACCTTCCCTCCCCATAACTCTTACTGACTTTTGTGTTTTAGTACTTAAAAAAGAATAAGGAATTCCTCAAACAAGTTTTTCAAATACAGACGTGTGGGAAGTAAAAGATCAAAGAAAATAATAAGCAGTCTAACCTAATAAGTCGTATTGATCAATAAGCTGTATATCTTCCCCATCTGAAAATTCACTAATGAGAATCAGCAGTGGTTGATCTTAAAATGCTTTGAAACTGTGATAGGCTCATACGGAAAGTAAATGAAGCAAAAGACATGCCTCAAACACAGTGCAAAAATAATTCTGCAAGCTTCTTTGGTTTACAAATTAGTAATACATTTTGTTCTTCTGGAACTCCCAAAAGATCTAAATGGCTAAAATATTTAAGTAACAATTAGAAAAGAAAAATGGGAAATAATTTATCCCTACCTCTTTCTAATTAGTAAAAGCATCTAACTAAATTAGTACATCTCAACATGTAGGGATAAGAACTAAGAGCCAAAGAATAGATAATATATAACTACCAGTAGTCAACAAAAAAGGGTTTTAGGTATATTTTAACACTTTGTGGGCCTTGAAAGACCATCAATTAACATTTTCTCAGAGCCTACTCTACATAGTTCCCTGTTCTACTAACTAGTATATTGTACAATATAGTATTTAAAAGGGTTTGCATAAATCAAAATTCAAATTCAACTTACCATAACTTCCAGTTACATTGGCACATATAACAGCCCCAAAAAATTTTGGAAAATACTTCTGAATTCTTGAAATCACTTTTTGGCAAGCTATGGTTGGATCTTCTCCTCTACTCATATATTCTACAGCTTGGTAGCTGATTTAAACAGAGGGAACTTCAGTATCATAGAACAAATGCAAACTTCAAATCAGGTAACTTTAATTAGAAATTTAAAACCAACAAAACTGTCATATTTGATAGAATACATATAATGAGTGGGAGTGGCTAACTCTCACTAAAGCATCAACATTGAAGCAAGGAAATCTTGATATGATATCATCTATTCAAGTCATCCACCATTAGTTTCAGACTAAGAAATTAGTTTTTTTTCTGGCTTAGTATTTTTTGACTTTGGCTGAGTTTCTGGTTTAGTAATAATAACCAGAAATCACAGAGAATAGAGGTTACATTTAAAAGAGAAAAGGTGCTACAATTAAAGGAGAAAATACTGTACACGTAGGCAATATGAAGTTCTAGTAATTGACTGCACATAGGGACTATGTTTCGTACTTTCATCAATTATCATAGCTCCTTGACTTAGTGGACTTACATTTGAATAAATTATAAATATTCTCATCTGTGAAGTAGGGTACTGTTCTATTTCATGGAACTATGATTACTTAATTTGAATGATCATTAAATGATAGGCAAAAAGTTTGTATATAAATTTCTCAAAAGCTCTTGTGCACAATCAGATTATGCAAAACAAAAACTCATTTTGTATCTTGACAGAGAACATATCCCCTATAAAGATCTCTAAAATTTACAAACGTAAGAAGTCATACCTTGGCAGAAAACGCATCAATATATCACCATTCCCAGTGGCTGCAGCTGCCCCTGCAGTATCATCAGCATATGCCCCAGCTCCAGGTATTGGTGAGTCTCCTATGCGACTTTATGAGCACACAGCATAAGAATTTAGGACAGGAAATCAAGTGTAAAATAAATTATGAGTTGTTTCCAAAATAGAGGATATTTCCACATAACTACTGATTATTGTTTTAAGTAAATTCTTCACATAGAGAAAAGACTTTTGTTAGTTTTTCAACTTAGTTTTCACAAACCTACATTAAAAATTTATTATCAGACATGGAGTATAAAAAAGTTGAATTTATAGAACTGATGAAAATGGTGATTGCTTGATACCAAGGAGTGAGGGAACTGGAGACATATTGGTCAAAGGACACAAGACTTCCATTAGACAGGAGGAATAACTTTAAGAGGTCAATTGTATATCATGGTTATTACAATAACACCTTTATTACTGTCTATTTGAAAATTGCTGAGAGCAGATTTTAAGTTGTAATCACCTCAAAAAACAATTTTGTGAGGTAATATATAAGTTAAATCACTATGTCTGTGTATGTGTGTATATATATATGAAAACATTATACATGTCATAAATGCTTTTTACTTGTCAATTTAAAAAATAAAAAAAAAACTGTAATCAGCTAGTTACATGCCAAGCTGACATTCAAAGATTTACAGCTACTTTCTTATAATTACCATTCTTTATAATCTGATTTCTGGGTTATTTTAAGAGGCTCAAAATTGATTTTCTTTACCTAACATCTATTCTTGCTTATTATGCAATATGTCAAACTCTTGACAAAGCTTTTCCTTGTAAATAAATCTTTAATCCTTTTCTACCACTTCAAAATAAAATTTAGAAATCCTCAAACTAACATAAGACTCCTTGAAATATGGTTCCAGTCTTCCTTTCCAGTCTTACCTTCCACCACGCACTAACAATCTCTTCAGCCAGCAGAAGCCCTGAATCTGAAGTGAGCACTACTTTTACCTGCCAGTGCCTTTGCTGTGAGGATCCCCTTTCCTTTCTGTGACTCAAGGATCAGTTCCTAGCTAGCAACACCTTACTGGCATTACTAACTACTTACTTTAAGCCACCCTAAACTCTAAAGCACTGGCTCTGACTCCTCCTTTGGCACTTAGCAGATCTAATGTGTTTTCTTTCAGATTTATCTACATCAGCCATGAGGCTGGCACTCTACTTGGTTGTACTCTCCTTCATAGCACCCAGCACATACTGCTTTACATTTATATATATTTGAGAGTTCTGTTCTTATGAAAACACTAACCCAGGTATTTTGAATTTTATACCATTTGTAGATGTACCAGCAGCAGTACGTCCAGTCTTATGGATTACAACCATACCTGGAAGTAAACAAAAAGTTGTCAGTACCTAAAGTTTACTTCAAATATAACCACATTATTGAGCAGTTGATAACTTCTTGGTCTGAATGTTGGCTCCCCAAAATTTATGTCCACAAAGTGATGAATTTAGGAGGGAGGCTTCCAGGATGTGATTACATCATAAAGGCATAGCCCTAACAAATAAGACTATTACTTTTATTAAAGAGGCCCAGAGAGCTAGCTAAGCTCCTTCAATTGCATGAGAACATGAAGAAAACATCTCCCATGAGTTAGGAAATGGGCCCTCACCAGACACAGGATCTACTCATGCCTAGACCTTGAACTTCCAGCCTCCACAACTGTGAGAATTAATTTCAGTTGTTCGTAAGTCACCAGCCTTTGTACTGTGTTTTCACAGCCTGAACTAGGAAAATAATATAAATATGCTCTCATTAATTTCATGTAGAAATAAAGTGAAAATTTGTGGATAGTGAAAATTATATCAGTAGTATAATTTATGCACTGTGATGACTTGGCTTCATACTGTCATTTGATAGACATCCCATATCCTTCCTCTTCAAATTGGTGAATTACTTTCATTTTTTTTTCCCCAGGGGTAATTCCAAATAAAATCACTAAAATGGACTAGTAGAAAAAAGTCTGTCCTAAAAACTTGGAAAAAATTATTTAAGGCCACTTTAATACAGCAAATGATAGCCAGGCACAGTGGCACATGCCTATAATCCCAGTAATTTGAGAGGCTGAGGAGGACTGCAAGTTGGAGGTCAGCCTAGAGAAGTTAGTGAGATGCTTTTTTAAAATAAAAAATAAAAAGGCCTGGATATGTGAGCGGAGTAGCTCAGTGGTATATCATCCCTGGGTTCAGTCCCTAGTACCACCAAACAACATAAAGAACTAACTATCAAAGAATTAAAAATCAACACATGAATAGTCACATTTGATTTGGGGGATCTTGTATAAGCAATTTAACAAATACATTCATGTATACATAAAATCTCTCTTATTTATATACATACCAAAGAGAAAAAATGAGAGAGAGGCACTTACTTGCCAAAATCAACTTCTAGTACATGAACAGGGATGAAGAAGGTAATTAACTTTTAATCATAAAAACTGTATAAAAGACAACTTACCAATAGTATCATGACCATAATCATCTTCTGCTTTTTTATAGGTAGGATGATCCTTATTTAAGATACCAGGTGGTTTGTAGGGTCCACAGTATTTTGAAGCATCTGGTATTACATTCTGTAAATAAGATTTAAGTTTTATTTTTAAGAAAGAGTATCTTAGAAATTGACAAGTAGTTATGTACAATCACTTAACACTAGTAAGAAATATATGGTAATGTAAACATAAAGATTAGTTGAGTCTTATGTGAAAATTAATGAATATCTAAGTTTACAAAATTCCCATGCTAGTCTCAGAATTACATAAAATGTGTTTATATATATATATATCTAACACATAGAACAGGTCCCTGAATTTTGTCTTTATTTGCTAAAATTCTAAACACAATACAAGAGGTTTTTTTGTTTTTTTAATTAGACATTAATCCAATGGAATAAGGTACAACACAATGGTACTCTTCAGAATTTTTTTCCTGGATAAATAAGAATTCTGAGATTTAAAACCACTGTTTGCAATCCACTTTTTTCTTTCCAAAGCTAGGCTTATGAAATATGCTCTAAGTGTGGTACTCTAGGATTCCTTTAAAAACTTTTTTAAAATATATTTTTTACTTGTTGATGGACATTTATTTTATTTATTTATATGCAATGCTGAAAATTGAACCCAATACCTTACACATACTAGGCAAACGCTCTACCACTGAGTTGCAAACCCAGCTATCCTTTTGAATCTTAAAGGCATAAAAATATAATCCACATTTATGAATTTAGGTGGTATAGATAGATTGGTTTAAAATAAGGACTGGGTGAGGTGGTAGACTCCTGTAATCCCAGTGGTGTGGGATGCTGACCTAGGAAGATCTCAATTTTGAACCCAGCTTCAGTGAGGCTGTCTCAAAATTCAAAAATACAAAGGGCTAGTTATATAGCTCAGTGATAGAATATCTGATGGTTTCAATCCCTAGTGGCATAAAAATAAACAAATAAATAAAACAATAAAACAAAACAAGAAACTACTATAGGTTGATGATCCCTTTATCTTACATTCTTGGAACCAGAGATATTTTGGATTTTTGATTGTCTTGGATTTTGTAATATTTACAAGTATACCATGGGGATGGGACTCAAGTCTAAAGCAATTCATTTATATTTCATATACAGGTTTGTTTTGTATACAAGTGGTCTGAAGGTGATGTTATATAATATTTTTAGTGCACCTGCATTTTAACTGCAATACATGAGGTGTGTAGAGTCTTTCACTTGTGGAACCATGGCAGAGAGTTCTGAATTTCAGATTTCTGGGTTCGGGATGTTCAACCTGTACCCATTATACATTAGTATACTAGGTACCTTCCCTATTCTCTTTTATCAACCATCTTTTTCCATGGTTAATCCCAGAGACATCATGGTAATTAGCAATTAGGGAAAAATAAAAAAGATGAGGCCATAAAACAATCAAAGAAGGAAACTGTATGGAAAAGGCAAACTGATTTGTGCTAAAAATTCCATTAAGGACAAATTATCCCATTAGTAAAAAACAAGGTACCTAATGGTATAAATCTTTAACTGAAGTGATGGGAAGATGCTGGATATATACTTCATACATATACTTATATATATATTTCACACAGATAAGATCTGGAAAATATTTCAGACTTATGTTTCCCAAACTTTGACTTTTTCAGCCTTTATCCAAGGAAATATAAGCAGAAAATCTCTGATGGGGGCAGCTCCAATCCCCAGAATCTTCCTAGTCTGCAAACAACTGCCAAAGACCAGTAGTTCTTCACCCTGGAATGGGAACCAGAGCCTGCTAAAGGAGCTCTCATGTCAATGCCCAGAGAGACAACTTAAATCTCCAGCTGTAATATGCAGCCAGGATGCTAAGAAGCATCCTCAGCAATAGGCAGGCAAGAGAGAACTGAAAGGAAATAATTTTAATATTTTCAAGTAATTTATTTTTGAGATTGAATACATATACATACTCTCCAATGATTTGGCTGGCAATTGTGAGCAAGCCAATCCGAATGAAGAGCTTGAGAAGCATTGGTAGATAAATCCTCATTGGTAAACCCCATACTTTCAGCAAACTTGGTGGCTGGCAATTAGGAAGGAAAGTATAAATTAACAAAGTATCATCTTTCAAGCAAAATGTATGTGCTGGAGGCATCCTAGGTCAGCTGCCTCTTACATGCGGTACACAAAGATATCCAGAGGGGTACACAAAGTTTTCTCAAAGAGTTTTCACACATGAACAGTTTCAAGGAAATCAATGTCTACATCTTCAACTTCCATATGTCCTACTTAAAGCTGATCTGCTTGAGTTCCCTGGGTTGTGTGTTATGCAGAATCCTTCGCTACCTCACCTTCACCATCTCCCTCCATCTTACCAAAAAAAAAAAAAAAAAAAAAAGGCACACACTCTCACCAATACGGACTCTTACTGCTCTGACCAGTTGCAATGATCATGATCAGGGTGTAAAAAGCTTTGTGACAGCAAAGGGACAACTGTATTCAACTGAATGAGTACCATTCTTTTATTTGTCAGGTACCTTGAGATTTTGTACTTACAGCCAAACTGAAGGAAACCTATTGGAGTCACTAGATAAACATATCATTAAAAATAATTTTTGATTATAGTCCAGTGTATAATTTCTAGTATACAGTGTGGAAAGTCTTCAAGTAAGTGATGTTGTCATAGCATATTCCTTCTAGTCCTATCTTCTTATGTTAATAATGCTCTCTAGGTTAATGATGCACCCATAAAAATGTAATAATATGGGAAAAAACTGATGGTGAACACTATTTCAGTCCAGCATTTACTCATCTATAGGTAATAAATTATTATTATTTTTTAAATCCTATTTTAAAGACAAAGAAAGTAAGGGTTAGAAGTTACCTATCCAGGTAAATAGACATTAAGAGCTGGAATTTAAACTGAAGTCTTTTCTCTTTGGATTCTGAGTACTATTTTTCACAGGGATGACTACAGACAAGACTAGAAAGAATTTCAGTATAGTTAAAAAATACCTGACTCTCCTGCCAAAAGTGTGTGTGTTGTATGTTCTAGTACTTTCCGTGCCACACCAATAGCATTTTTAATTCGTCTAAGATCTCCTACTGCTCCTATATCCATGGTAGTGCTGTAAGAAAAAAACGTAGTATGTATTAAGATATTTTCATAGGTTCATAAATTTAAAAATATTGCTGTTCTCTAAACAATAATGTTTTGTAGGATAAATTCCATCATCTTACACAGAAAAGCAAAAAGCACATTCATGAAGTTCATAGATTTCCACAAGATCAGAATTAAGGAAAAAACAGAAAATCAGTTTACCATATATTACAACAGAACTAAGATTCTTAAACATGGCTTCTGAAAGAGGCTTTAAGTTTTCTGGTCAAACAAACCATAATATTTGTGGATGTCAGGTGAATGATGGTTTATAAGGTCAGAGGCAAATTTTCTCCCTGTTACAGGAGATCTATTTTCATGCGTTATTGATATTATTAGGATAAGTTATTCACTTTTAAATAATCAAGAGGGAAACTCCTTGTGTTTGAAAATGCCAAATACAATAAGCTAGTGGTTCTGACCTGTGACAAAACTCACACCTTCTCCCATCTTGAGCTTAGGAGAAATTACAATTCTAAATGTAGCTTAACATGAAGCACAGACACAGAGAAGCATTCTCTCTGAAAGGCATTCTTACCCATCCATGATCATGGCATCCAGCGTGGTTTCCCCAAGTTCATCAGGACTTCCTCCAAAGCCTACAGAGCCATCACACTGCTCTTTCTCACACGTAGCACAGCCATTCTCAATGGCATCGAGGGCAGAACCACCAGATTCTAACACCCGCCATGCTGTTAATTAAACCAAATAATGCTCCTTTATATAAATATTTTCCTGATGCCAAATGCAATTTGAGACTTTCTATTTTAATTTTCCCCATTTTTACACTCAGTTAAACTGAAATGTCAGCAAATTAGTTTATCAAGTATACAAATCAGTCAGAAACAAAAATTACATCACTGGTTATTATAAAGAATTCAAAGAATTTGGCTACTGCTACAATGTGAGGTGTTTTCTTTTTCTTTCACTTTTTAATAGCTATTTTTTCTAAGAAAAGCAGTATCCTCTCCTTTATTTTTAAAGGTACAATTGAAACTACCCAAAGGCAGTTAAACTGACAGTCTATTAAATCATCACCTCACAAATTTCTTCTGCAAAAATATGCATAATTATTACCTTTTTTTGAGGTAAAAAAGGACAGTCTTGATAAAATTCTAAGAAAAAGTTACAAGACGGACTTCATATGAATTAGTTCATTTAGTCTTCATAACAGTTTTTTAAGATAGTAATGTGCAATTCCTCATTTTAAAAAAGAGGAAATTGAACCATTGACTTAAGAAAATTCTTTTAAGGTCACTCAGCTGGTACACAGCAGCTTGGTTTTAAAAGTAGTTACTTCAACTATGGTGGCCATACTTCTGGCACTGTGCTGTTCTGTGGATCCCTGTACATTGGGGTAGGGGAGGTCTTCCTTGAACACTTTACCCATAAAAACAGAATTCCTTGAACAGCAGGTACTGTCAATAAGCACTTTAATGTCACTAATGGACCTACAGGCTTGAAAGTACATTCTGAGAAGTTTCCTATAAGGCAACTTGCACACAATTGTCCCTTGCCCAGATTGCTGGGCTTCTTTGGGTCTCTCTGTTGCTATGAACCTCTTTCTCACAACCTGATTCCTTATTTTCTATGATGCCTATGCCTTGCCTATAACATAGCAGTTTACCTCCTTCATATTCTGGATTCAATTCTGCCACCAGAAAGTTAATCTATGAGATGGGGTACCAAGGGTATGAAATTACTTCTGCAGTAGTATGTCTTGAAACGAAAGAAACAAACATAATACGATACGAAAATGCCAGGAGATTGGTATATACAGGATAATATCACGGAGCAAAAGATGGGAATCTGATTCCGATTGATTAAGTTTAAGGGCATTAGGGAAGGCTTCCTGGAAGAGGGGATACCATAGCTTTGTGGTTCTCAATCCTCTCTGACTGCCAAGGAATATCACATAGGGAGGTTTTGTTTTTTTTTAAAAAAGCAGATGACCTACTTCCAGCAGTTAAATCAAAATCCCAGGAGGTGGGGCTCAGGCACAATGATTGTTGTGCCTCAGATATATCAGAGTGTTACAAAAAAAAAAAAAAAAATTATGTGGGAAAAGAATATGCTATCTTTTGGGCAAAAAAAGGTTGTCTAAAAATTAAGAATCCAGGGTACTGAAGATACATGGAGGTGGGGGTGAGAAAGGGAAGGTGGAGAGGTAGACGCCCGGCAAAACTAGGAATCAGGCAAAAACCAGCTTAAGTGCCACTGGAAGAGTAAAAGCTGAAAGACCCGAATCGTTGGAGGTCAGCAGGACAGTGTGATATATATTAGTGCGGGGTGGGAGTGGGGGGCAATACAAGGAGTGATCCTAAATGACAAGGACTTAAAAACACAGCCTCGGAGGACGATGGAGTAAAGGTCAATTGCAAAAGAGCAACGAAGCCGGCGAAGCAGGAAGGACTGGAAGCCGAGGCTGCGGAAGGCCTGGCCAATCGGGCGCTTGCCTGCCTTGCAGCTGCAATGGGGCCAGCCAGTCGGTCCTCCCCACCCCACCGGGACCTCTTGCAGTGCAGACACCCACCCCGGCCGCGCTTCGCACCTGCTTCGGTTGCACTCTTAAAAGGCCAAGTGTTGAGGACCAGGGGCAGAGTGTTGAAGCCGCGCACTAGGGTCGGGCCGAGCAGGAGCGGCACGAGAAACACAAACAAATTCGACTTCCGCGCCATAGTTGCGCGCTAAGCAGACAAGCGCGAAATAAGTCCCAGGTCAAGCGACCGGCGCAGACCCGTCCGGAGCTCCAGCACTCGTGATCTCCAGGACCCCGCCCACCTGACGGCCACGCCCTCTCCCTTTGGTGCGGGCCGCGGTCCCTCAACTCTCGCGAGACGCGGCCTTCTCAGGGATCGCGTTAGAGGTCGGTCATAGTGGAGCTGCAGGGTTCGTTCCTACTGAGGTGCTTCGTATTACTAAGCGCAGTGCAGAGACATTTACTTTTATTAGTCAAACAAATTGCTGCCTTTTTTGATGTTAAGTATAGATTGAGCTTCATATTGGAAAATTAGTATGAAGTCATGCAACTCTGGTTTGTTTGTCTTTAGGAACTTTGGGTAAATGTTTATTGTTTTTGTACTTATTTATCCTCTGAATTAAAAGTGTAAACTGAACTTTGCCTCGTCTAAAATGTAATCTGGAATTCCTCAGGGATCTGAAATGGTTATTGAGTATGGGTGAAGAGTTCTTTAGACCAAATTCATTTTAGATATTTTCTACCCTTACTTTCCCTGCTCAGTCTTGCTACCACAGCTTTCTGTAGGACGTCCTTTCCTTACAAATCCCCGAGCTGGAAGAAAAGGACAATCTGGGGAAATACAAATTGATCCTCTACATAGCCCACTGAAGTGCATCTATGCCTCCAGGCAAGAAGTCTAGCTCCATTCTTTGTTAAAAGTATTTTTACCTGACACCATTAAGTACTAAATAAATGTTTGAACAAAAGGAGGGATGGAGTCTTTACATGCATGGTAGAGGCTGTTCATTCTGATATGTAGGTTGCTGCACAGATGTGCAAGCATGGACCCAAAATCCCTTTGGGATTGTGGAATGCTTGCCCGTGTAGCCAAAGGAACAGAAGTCATTTTTAAAGAGCATCTGTAAATCTATTCAGACTAGATGGGAGTTGTGAGGCTTACAAAATCTTCAAGGCCCTTATTGCTAGGAAACTTGAACTGCATAAAATAGCCTAGAAGAATTATCCCAAGGCAGGGAACTGCTATTAAAAAGTTAGGTGTAATTAAAGGAAATTCCATTTATGGGCTTTCGGAGCAGGAGCAGCCGTTTTTGCTGGCATAATGAGCATAGGCTAATACCAGGTGAAATGTAAAAGATGGGTGAAATGGTGTAAGAAATCAAAGAAAACATTGACTTCTGAATTTTCCTTAGCACCTGAGCTGAAAATTGTTTATACAACCTAAGAAACTGAGACATACCTTCAGCAACAATAGAAAAATACAATACATTCAAAATTGGTCTCAGTGCCCATTATTCTGTGGTCTGTTAGTGTTTCTTAAGGTGTCTGGAGCTGGAACACTTTTAACTCTCTCTGTTCATTCTTCTCCAAAATTCTTTTCTTTTACTTGAATTCAAAATCCTGTTAGAGAAGTTTATCTCATCTATTGGTTGGAGGAAAACAACTAAATTATATTATAGTGAGAACATCTGGAAAAAAAATGCTCAGTATGTGAACTCTTCCATGAACATTGGTGTTTAGAATAATTAATATGCAATCTCAAAGGAATACACTTTATTTAGTGTCTTTTTTGTGGCTATTAAAATACTTACTCTTTCGGTCCATTTTGCCCAAACTTAGTTTTATGTCCATTTCTAAGTCTTAAACAAATTAAATTAGTTTATTTGAGTTCCTTCTGGAACATTATTTTTTAAGTAACATTTGGAGAATAGTTTAGGTTTTAAACTTGGTGTTCTCATGTTTCTCTCAGGTTTTCTTCTTTTTTGGGGGGGTGGGTACCAGGGATTGAACTCAGGGGCACTTGACCATTGAGGCACATCCCAGCCCTATTTTGTATTTTATTTAGAGACAGGATCTCACTAAGTTGCTTAGTTGCTTTTTGCTGAGGCTGGCTGGCTTTCAACTTTCAATCCTCCTGCCTCAGTCTCCTGAACTACTGGAATTAAAGGCATGCTCCACAGACACCTGGCTACTCTCAGGTTTTTATTTCAGCCTTGAGGTAGCTGTATCCTTTTGCTTTATTTTGAGGTAAATCCAAATGAAAAGGGATATCTGTTAACAATTAGGTAGTTGACTTAAAAAAAATCCACAGTTTTTCCAGCATGCACTCCAATTTTTTACCCATTAAAATCATTAATTATATGTAACAGCAGTGACATGTAGTATTACTGATATATCAAAAAATAGATATAAAGATCTTTTATTTTAAATGCATTCTAAAATGCATTGTACAATTTTGTTTGGAAAAACATCTATATTCCTCAATGGAACTTACTTGTAACTAACAAAACTTTAGGATATTTTCAAGACCTTTGTTTTAAAACTCAGAGTAACTACACATAAGCTGTGATTAAGTTAGTAATTTTCCTGAGCCACACTTTCTTCATCTGTAAAATGCAGATAATAATAATTTTTTTTCTTATTTTACAAAATCTCATGAATGAGTCTCATGATGTTAGAGTACTAATTAAATAATATTTAGTTGCTTTAATTGACATTCACCAAATATTCATAAATTGGTATCAGGAATAAGCAAAGCAGAAAAAAATTGATTTGAAATACAGAAATTTCCACAGAAATAATAATTAATTTGATACCTAAATGCATTTTAAAGAAACATTTATAATTTTTTGATTGTATTCAATGAGAGTTAAAAATAATGTATTTAGCCTAATTTGAGCAGTCTAAAATTTAATTGAAATGTTTATAAAGCTGGTGCATGGGAGGGCTGTGAGATTTCTGAATGTCTTAAAAACAGCATCCTCTAGTACTACCAAAGAAAATGTCTCAAATGGAACTTTAAATGTTACAAATATAACTATCCTGGGTGTGTGTGTGTGTGTGTGTGTGTGTGTGTGTGTGTGTGTGTAAGATTGAGGGGGGTTAGTTTGGGGCAGCTCCAGGCTCCCCTCCTTTTCCTCTAAACTTCATGGCTTTCAATTTATCAGTCTCACAAGGATGAAGAGTTGAGTCTCTCCTGATAGCATTTGAAGCTGTGGTTCCACAGAGGATTTAACGCTGTAGTTGCAGGGAGTCTAGGTATTTCAAATCTGAGGCTTAAAAAACTAAGCCATCCCCTCCGGCTTTTGCACTGATGCTGTGAAATCCATTTGAGAAACATGCCCATGTTTCACTACTTGTTCAAAGCTGTAAGCGTGACTTGGCATTGAAATAATAATTTCTTTTTCAAACCTCCCCACTGAACTATTACCTGGGTTATATAAATACAGTCTATTTATTTGATTGGCATTTGCTCTTGTCATTTTCACAAACTCTTAAGTAATGATTTTTGCTGATGTTAGAGCATTGTGGTATTGTGTTTCTAATTTAAATCCATTTTTATATTAATCTAGGAACACTTGATGTTACTACCTGATTGTACATGCTGGATGTAATTAGAGTCATTATACAGAAGTAAGTGTCATCTTATTATTCTCTAAATGAGAAAAGAAGTATTCTTCCTTTCTGAGATAATTTTTCTGGGTCATGCCCCCCAAACCATTGTTAAAGTAGTAGCAGATTCAAATCACAAACTTTCTTTTGACTTTTTAACCTTTAAAAGTCATCTGAGTGATTTATAAAGACCAAGATTGTCTACTGGAATATTGTTGGACTGTTAAGTGATTTTTCTTCTCAAAAAAGTTATGAGCAGCATATTTTCAATTTGTAACTGTAATATTATGCGACTACTATAATAAAGGTGTAATGAGGCTATAGTAGATCATTTTACATAGTGGACTCTGCTTTTTATGACAGTTGTTTATAAGGTTATGATGTCTTCATAAATGTGATCCATTACTATAGTAAAGGCCTAGGGCAACACAACAGACCTCATCATGTCTTTCTACCACTTAAAAAATCACTTTGAAATTGTTAACTAGTGTCAAAGATGTTTCTAATAAAGAAATTCAACCATAAAAGCAAAATCCCAAGTAACAGTCACTTAATAGTGAGTATTTTGTTTATTTAAAATTATATACATATGTTGATTATGATTTAATGGGAAAGTATTCTAATAATGATTATATATTTATCTTGTATGTAACAATGCAAATTGTTTGTTCTTTACCAATGGTTCATACAAACATTTGAAAGAAATGATTATTTTACTTAGTGTTTTTCATTTTTGCTTTTAGAAATACCTATATGTTCTTCAAATACCCCTAAGTAATCTAGTTCTTATTGGAAAATAACCAAACTTTTAATATTTTGGTATGTAACTGGTGAAAAATCTTGGTATTGTATGCACTGTTGTATAACTTTTAAATTTAATATGCCTTTAAATTCTTGTCATTAAGAGACCTGTCATTAAAATGTATGCTTTTTAAATTTTTGTAAAATACAAAACATAGAAAAGAATATCAAGTAAATATATAGACTAAAGAATTGTATAGAAAATGAACACCCACATAATCACCACTATGTCAATAAATAGAGAACTGTCAGCAGTTCCCCAAACTTCCTAATTGTCCCTACAACATATTGTTTGAAACTGTTTTATTTTCTAAGAGCAATTTTGATTCACAGGAAGACTGAGCAGAAGGTACAAAGATTTCATATATGCCCCTACCCCTATATATAATAGCCTCCCTCATTATCAATATCCCCCACAAGGGCTGGGGTATATTTTTACAACTGATAGACCTATATTGATACCCGAAGTCCCCAGTTTAAATTAAGTTCATGCTTGTTAACATATGTTTGGTGGTGTGACAAATACACAACAGCATGTGTCTCATCATTATTGTACTGTACAGAGTATTTTTATTGCTTTAAGAATTCTCTGCCTTCTGCCTCTTCATCCCTTCCCCTCCCAATGCATGGCAACCACTGACCTTTTTACTGTCTCCATAGTTTTGCCCTTTCCAGAACATCATTTTGTTAGAATCCTATAGTTCTATAGGCTTTTTATATTGGCTTGTTTTACTTGGTAATATGTGTTTGTTTTCTCTATGTCTTTTCATGGCTTGCTAGATCATTTCTTTTTAGTGCTGAAAAATAATATTACATTGTTTGAATGTACGATGGTTTATGTATCCCTTCACCTACTGAAGGACATCTTGGCTGCTTTCAAGTCTTG